TGAGTGACAAAACACATCGGGGGCTTAGAGCAGTACCTGGCAAATGGGAACCATTTTAACGCCTGGGAGATCGAGGCTCGGGGGAGGGTGGTGACCTGCTCAGGGGCTGGGAGCCAGGACAGAACCCGGATCCTCTGACGCCAGACTGATGCCCATTCTGCCCCACTGATTGGCCTTGGTCAGGGCCCTGGACACGTGCGTCGGGGCAATGGTGGAGGCGATGCCCGCTAGGCCCTCAAAAGCCAGAGGAAACTCGCAGAGTCCACCCAGCGCACTCATGCCAGGAGCACGGGCCCAGGCTCAGCTGGGGGAGGGCTGCGAGCCCGGCCCCTCCCTCCCCAGCAAGGGTCTCCCTGCACACTCTGCCTTGGTGGCTAAGCAGAAGTACCCTGGTGCTCTGACGCCCCGTGAAGTCCCTTACCCTCCAGACATGCAGCCCCTAGAGGCTCAAGAGCCAAGAATGAGCCTGTCTGGTTCTCCAGGGCCTGTTACCGGGGGGCTGGAATGAAGGGGGCTGGTCCTCCCCCTCCCGGTGATGCGCGTGCAGTGGCCCTGGGGTCTGTGAGGTCCCCTAAGCCAGGGAGGAAGCAGGGTCTGCTGCGGAAAAGCTTGAGACCATGACATCCCCAGATAGGCTCATCTTCACGAAGCCGCCACCAGGCCCCGTCACCCCATCTCACACGTGCACTCGGCCTCCTCTGAGTTAGGAAAACAAGACCCCTCCCCCCATGCCCTCCCTCCCAGCCTCAGAAGCCCCACATCCCCGGGAGTTGAGCTGTCTGTCTCCCTTGGTGATCCCATAGGGCCCGCCGGGCATGACATCACCGTCACCGTGACAGTGGCTCCGGTGGCCTGACTGCCAGAGCGGGACACACCTGGGTGACGCTGGATGCCTGGGGAGGTGAGGTGAGCGCCTGGCGGCTTTGGGCCAAGGCAGGAGGCTGGTCCCTGAGCGGGAAGGTCAGGTGTCACAGACCCTGTCCTGCATTGGCACCATTGGGAGAGTGTCAGAATACGGTTTGGGAGGAGAGAGAGCAGCAGACGCGTGGCAACGGGAAGAAAGAAGCACCCAGCTGCATACTTTTCATAGCTGTGTAAATTAGTAGTTTATTTCTTGGGGACCCTTTGTGCTGATCTCTTTGTTTTCTTTTTAATGTGCATTTATTTATTTTTCAAAAAGAGAGAGGAAGCACACAAGGGGGGAGGGACAGAGAGAGGAGGAGACACAGAATCCGAAGCAGGCTCCAGGCTCTGAGCTAGCTGTCAGCACAGAGCCCAACATGGGGCTCGAACTCACAAACTGCGAGATGATAACCAGAGCTGAAGTTGGATGCTTAACAGACTGAGCCACCCGGGTGCCCCTGATCTTGTTTTCTTAAAAGACTTACAATGCCGGTGACGCCCTCCAGGAAGCCCCCTGACTACTGGTGGCGACCCAGCTTCTGGAGACTCAGGGACAGTCAGGCCTGATGGGGATGCGCACACACACGCACACAGGTGCTTGCCCCCAGGTCCTGCTTCTGCAGGGAGTTTTCGGGAGTGGGTTACAAACGTGTGTGCATCCGAGAAGCTGGGCAGGCCACCCTGCAGTGGCTCCGAGGTGCCTGAATCTGTTCCTGAGGGATCCGCAACGGGCATTCCTTCCCAGAGATCCATCCAGCGTTCAGGCTTTTCAGTCCTTAGCCGGACAAGGTCCAGCCCCCCACCCCCCGCCCCCCAGAATCCGTGGAACAGGGATTCGCAGGGGGAGCTCCTGTGAAGGCACCAGGCAGCGAAGCCTTTTATGGTAGGGGTGACAGCGCCTCTCCCAGCCTGCCTTGGTGTGTCCATTAGGGATGTGTTGGGTGCACGTCATAGAAAGTCCAACAAACACTGTGACCTTGTACTATAAAGAAAATGAGGGCGTCTGGGTGACTCAGTTGGTTAAGCATCCGACTTCGGCTCAGGTCATGATCTCACAGTTCGTGGGTTCGAGCCCCACGTTGGGCTCTGTGCTGACAGCTCAGAGCCAGGAGCCTGCTTGGGATTCTGTGTCTCCCTCTCTCTATGGCCTTCCCCACTCGTACTCTGTCTCTCTCTCTCTCTCTGAAAAATAAATAAAACGTAATAAAATTTTAAAAAAGATAAGGGGCTTTCCGGGCAGACTCCTATGTGCATCTTAGTGGCCACAACTGGACCCACGGACTCACACCCCCTTGAGCTGCAAGGGAGTGTGGTATGTTGAGTGTGTTAGCAGGGCACAAACAAAATTGGGGTTCTCTTGGTAAGGAGGCAGTGGATGGGGTCCAGCGCCATCCACACGTGTAGCGTTTGCCTCCTCCATCGCACTGCCAACCGCCCGAGAGGTGGGGGCCGCGTCTTCTTCTGTCCTGTCCCCCCAGCAGCAGCAGCAGCAGGGAGCCTGGCACACGGAATGTGCTTCCTCAGTAGCTTGCGGGAACTCTCGGTTTCCTCTTGGGGGAGGAGCTACTAATCTGAAGGCAGAGGTCCAGCCCTCCCTCTCAGGAGCCCCCAGTCAGATGGGGGAGGCGTAGCTCCCCACCCCTACCACGGAGCTCCCTGCCACTAACACACAGACACACACGTGCACACAGCCCTCTCCTGGAGGGCAGAACAGGGGCCCACGCGGCTGCTCCTGCACACGGTGGTGCAGGGGTGGTGTGGAGGGAGCATCATGGAGGCCATCACGAGGCTGCCATGTTGCCCCTCTCCAAGGCCGTGTGGCCAAAGTGAAGGAAGGCCCAGCAATGCTGTGGGGGAGGGGGACATCCCTCCCGGAGCCTCCAGTTGCCGGGAGCAAAGTCTGGCATTTGGTTTCCACCCAGACAAGGCTAATGAAGGAGGCAAATCAGAGCCCAGGAGCGATTAATTAACAACCTAAGGGCAGAGGCGTGCTCCCTCTGAGGTGGAAAGTCCCACGGGTGGCTTTGCCTGGGTCAGCTGCCCTACCCCCAGCCCCTGGGAGCCACTCCCCTCCAGAGTCTGATAGCCCCGAGTCAGCTCTGCCATTTCCTGGCCTTGTGGCCTCAGTTTCCTCCCCTGTAAAATGGGATGCACTGTAGGGGCAGCATAATCAGCTATGTGGACTTTGGGGTCAGACATGGCTGTGTGACTTTGGGCAAATGACTTAACTACTCTGTGCCTTCTCAGGCGAAAATCTGGAACCAAGGAGTTGTTTTACCGTCCCCCATACCGTCTCCACAGCTCTGCTCAGTGTTCTCCCCAGGGAGGGAACAGAGTTCTGGGGGTGTCTGGGAAAAGGCAGTGGAGCCCACTCTGCAGCCACAGCGCCCCTGACCACAGCATCCATCACCTCATTTGCCAAAGAGCCAGTGGTGTGAGGAGAGAGCATCTGCGGGGAGCAAAGTCACACTGCCTACCAGGAGGCTGCTTGGGACTCATGGCCGTGTGTGTGTGTGTGTGTGTGTGTGTGAGACAGAGAGACAGAGAGAGAGAGCTTTATTAAGATATAACTCACATATCATACAGTTCGCCTGTTTACAGTGTACAATTCCGTGGGTTGCAGTATATTCACAGAGTGTTTATCCATCACCACCATCAGTATTAGAGCATTTTCATCATCTCAGAAAGAAACCCCATGCCCTCCAAATACCACCCCTATATCCACACCCCCCGCCATGCACCCCTTCCCCCAGCCCTCGCCAACCACTCCTCTACTTCCTGTCTTCATAGATTTCCCTACTGTGGACCATCCGTGCAGTATATGGAATCATTCCGCAGGTGGCCGGCTTCTGCCGCTTAGCAGAGCGGGTTCAGGGTCCATCCGCGCTGTAGCGTGAAACGATGAAGCAGTACCTCTTCTCACTGCCAAATAAAGTTCCATTGGATGGATAAACCACACTAGCTTGGGTTTTTTAATTCATTCATCAGTTGCTGCACATTTGGGTTGTCTCTTCACCCATGGCTTCTGTGGTCCATGCTGCTGTAAACGTTTGTGTTCAAGTGTTTGCGTGGACACATGTTTTCCTTTTGGGTGTGCACCTGGGTGTGGATCACTGGCTCTCAGAGCACCTCTGTGTTGAATCACTTACAGAACCGCCTTCCACCGCTGCCGCACGATTCCCATTGGTCCCCATCGGCAGTGGGCAAGGTGTCCCCTGTTCCCCACATCCAGGCCTACGCTTGAGTCTGTCTGTTTATCAGTGGCCATTCTGGTGAATGTGAAGGGGTGTGTCCTTGCGGTTGTGATCTGCACTTCCCTGTGGACTAGTGACGTCAAGAGCCTTTTCGTGTCCTTGTTGACCATTTCTTGGAGAAGTGCCTGTTCAGATCCTTTGCCTAGTTTTCACTTGGGTTGGCATTGTTGTTATTGACTCGTAAGAGCTCTTTATATATTCTGCACCTAAGCCCGTTGTCAGGTACACAGTCTGCAAGTAGTTTCTCCCATTTCCTGAGTTCTCTTTTTACTTTCTTTGTGGTGGCCCTTGAAGCACAGAAGTTTTACGTTTGGCCGGACTCTGATGTGTCTGTGTTTCTGGCTGGTAGGCATACTTCCCGCGTCGTTTCTCGCTGCATGTTCTTAATCAAGTGCTTCTCCTGTGGAGGAAACAGGGCAGATGATGCCCTCTTGTGCTGGGCAGATACTTCCTGGGGGCCAGAATGGGCCGTGGGGGCTCCTTCAGCAGGGAGTCGGGGTGCCATCAGCTTCCTGGGCGGTGGGGTGTGGACGCTCGGGGGCCCCCAGCTCCCTCGCCCCGGAGACTCCTTCCGTTCTGGGCCGGGAGGGATGCTCAGTGTAGGGCTTGCTGCCCTGGTTAGATCAGTAGAACCGAGAGGTGAGGATAGCGACTCTAAAGACAGGCGGCCCGGGTTCGAGTTCTGGGAATGCCGCTGAGTGACATGGGCCCGTGGGAGAGAACCGTCTTCCTTCTGAACCCCCTTTAACCATCTCTTACAAAGAGGATAGAGGCGGTGCCCCTTCTCAGCGGGGCTGAGGGACAGCTAGAGTCTCCGGCACTCACGCGCTCTTCCGCCCGCAGCCATGAAAGCCGACCGGAAGCGCCTGAAGGGCGAGAAGACCGACCTGGTGAGCCAGATGCAGCAGCTGTACGCCACGCTGGAGAGCCGCGAGGAGCAGCTGCGCGACTTCATCCGCAACTACGAGCAGCACCGCAAGGTGGGCCTGCCCCCCACTGCCTCCCCTCCCCTCCCCCCCAGACACCAGCTTCCTCCCCTCCCCCTTCTTCCTCCCCCTTCCTCCCTTCCCCTTCCTCCCCTCCCCCCTCCCAGACACCAGCTTCCTCCCTTCCCCCTCCCCACTCCTCTGTGCCCCCTTCCTCCTCCAGCTTCTTCCCCTCCCCCTTCTTCTTCCTCCTTCCTCCCCTCCCCTTCCTCCCCTCCCCCTTCCTCCCCTTCCTCCCCTCCCCCTTCCTCCCCTCCCCCTTCTTCCCCTCCCCCTTCTTCCTCCCCCTTCTTCCTCCCCATTCCTCCCCTTCCTCCCCTCCCCCTTCTTTCTCCCTCAACTCCCCTCCACACACCAGCTCCCTCTCCTTCCTCTCCCCCTGCACCCTCCCCTCCCCTCCCCCTAGATGTTACTGTCTTAATCCTCCTTGCCCTGTGGAGCAAATCTGCCTTGTGCTACCAGTAAATCAGTGCCATAGCAACATTGTGATGTGATGGGCATTAATCACTGTTGGGCCCAACCCCATTTTACAGACAGAAGGACCGAGGCTATGAAGGGTCCAGGGACTGACCCAAAGCTGCATATTTAGAGCTGGTTTGGAGAAGCTAAAACCACCAAGTCCTGATTTTATTCTGTCTCTTCCGAGATCTTGCAAGTGGTTAAAAAAAGGTAAAAAAAAAAAAAAAGACTTGCATTTTATGCACAAAATAAGCGTCCCCGTGAACAGGACTACGGGAACCCTCAGGTGTCCCAGCCTCCTTGGCCCTGGCACTTAGCCTGCCGCGGCCCAGCCAGCTCCTCCTGAGGACCCCGCAGGCCTCGCCTGCAGCAGGTAGCAGACCCCAGTTCCCTGAGCTACTGGTCAGCACGGGCACAGGCTGCAGAGAAATGAGGGGCTTGGAGCCTCCCAGGAAGTTGTGCCTAACGCTCGTTCCCCGCCACACCGTGCGGTTCGGAGGGGGATTTGGGACGCTCCATAATCCAGCTGAGTGCGTTCTCACGGCAAGACGGGCGGCCAGGCTGGGGGCCAAGGGCAGACACGGGGCCATCTTGGGTCATGAGGCTGAGGCCGCCTTCATCCTGCCCCCCTCGCCTCCCTGGACAGGCCTGTGGCCCCTGAAGCCGCGTCCTCACTGCACCCCTCCTCCTTCTGTCCGGTGAGCCCCACGTGCCAGCAGAGGGACCGGGACCCCGCTCCCGGCTTGGCATCTGAGGCCCAACCACCCTGGCCCCTGTGTGGTTCCAACCTCCCTGGTGGGTTTCCTTTCAGCTGCTTTCCTGCCTCACTTACCAGCAAGGACCGAGGCCTCTCCCGCACTCTCTGGGGGGCTGGGGAAGGTCTTTTACTTCTCTGGCCTCGGCTCGCTCATCTGTGAAATAGGGATGATATTCATTCCCTACCTCACAGGTAGTTGTGAGGCTTAAATATAATTGCCTGAATCGCTGAGGCACCACGCTTGACGTGTGTTCAGAGCATTCCGTGTCGGGTACTCCTGAGCCCGCCCTCCTGCTGCCAGGGAATGTGATCGTGGGAGGGGGTGTCGAGTTGTCACCAAGGATGTTTTGTAAGCAGCCTCTCATATACCAGCCAGTTCGAAGGGACCGTCCTTAGCCAGTTATTCATTTCCACACGCTTCATTTTGGGGGCCCTCCTGTGATCCAGGCTTGCGGCTGGGAGCTGGGGACAGACACCCAGAACATGGCTCAGCCCCCGGGGAAGGGGCTCCCCGTCCAGGAGGGCGCTGGGGGCCGTGCCCGTCACCTGCGGCACTGACGCCACCCGAACCCAGCCCCACAGAGGAAGGGCGACCAAGCAGCGGTGGAATGCCTCCTTGCACTGAGGCCCTTGCTTCCAGAACATGAGAGCACAGCCTCACCTGAGACTGGTGACAGTGGTAGTGTCATCACTGCCTCACAAATGAGGTGCCTGAGGTTTGGGGAGGTTGGAGAACTCAGTGTCCTGCAGCTTAGCGTGGACTAAGCTGAGACTCCCCCCCGGGCAGCCTGACCCCAAAATATAGGGGCCAGTAGCATGTCCTGGAAGGGATCGTCCCCCACACCCTCTCCTCCCAGAAGCTGGGGACCGCTCACACCAAGCACGAGGGCTGACACGTGATGGCCTCTGCAGCCTGTCCCAGCAGCCGGGATGCACGCACTCATTTCTTCAGCAGCACCTGTCACCCGCTGCCGTTGGCCAGGCTGCCGCCCTGGGACCCAGGTTAATGCCGGCGAGCCGAAGTGGCACGTCCCTGCTCTCACGGCGCGGGCCTTACGGCTCTTCTCCGTGAGGTCCGCGGATGTGGGGATTTCTGTCTGGCCCGTGCCTGCTGATGGCATCTGTGAACTTGGGTTGAATGATCAGTATCAGGCAGCCATATAGACAGTGGGTTGGGGGGAGCCCAGGGCTGTTCTCAGGTGAGTGGTCAGGGAGGGCCGCTCAAGCAGGGTGTGCCGTGTGCCCACACCGCACTGAGCCCTCCGCACGGATTATCTCGATCAGTCCCCAGAACACTCTGAAGTACGTGCAGTATTATCTCGAGGCACAGACCAGGGCGCCCAGGCCCGACAGTCATTGTGGCTCATCCTCGCAAAGCCAGGATTCGACCAGACTCCCTCTGTCCCCAGACCATAAGCCATAGCTCCAGCTCTGTGACAGCCCCAGAGAAAAGGGCAGCCCTCGGCTCCTCGGCTCTGGGCATCTGGAAGTCAGGCCTTCGGAGCAGGGCTGTTAAACAAGGCAATGTGCCCCCGGCCACACAGGGACCTTGAACGTGGCTCCTGGTCTGGTGAATGGGAAGACCTTGCTGGGTGGACAGGCGGGACCCCGTGCTGGGACCCTTCTTCTCGGGAAGGGCACCTGCTGTGCTGACACTAGGCTCTTGCCCATGGAGGTCAGACCCCGTGGTCCTCGGCTGCTGGCTTTGCCCCCGCACGGCCCTTCCCTCTGCATCCGGGTCAGAGAGCTCCTGGCGGGGCCCTGGCGGAGGGCGATGCTGCATTCAGATAGCTGAGGAGTTGGCCTGCTCCGTCATCCACTGTGACCTCGGAGCAGGGCAGGGGTGGCTGCAGGACCCTGCGGGCCAGAGCAGCTGGGCTGCAGGTGTCTCCTGGGTCTCTCTTTCCCTGTGACACGCACGTTACCAAACAACAGAACAAAGCCCCACCCCCATTACAAACCCAGACTTCCTTCCGTCAGACCGCACGTTTTTTCCACATGTGGAGTCATTTGATCTTTTGATCAAATTATAAAGATAATTTGAAACAAGTGGTATCAACCTCCTCCCGTTTGAAAGATGGAGAAACGGAGACTCGATGAGGTCAGACGGCTTACCCATCACACTCATTTGCTCATTTATTATAGAAACAACATTTCCTGAGCATCTACTAATGGCTTGTCTCTGTCCAGTCTGCCGGCTAATCTGTGGCTCAGCCGGAGCGCCCCGGCTCATCTTCCTCTGGTCTAGGGGTCAGGGCCCCCTCTGGGTATCTCCAGGCCAAGGGGAGGCCCCGCAGCCCCACCGTAACGCCCCTGGCACTCTGTCCCCGCAGGAGAGCGAGGACGCCGTCAAAGCCCTGGCTAAGGAGAAGGACCTACTGGAGCGGGAAAAGTGGGAGCTTCGGCGCCAGGCCAAGGAGGCCACGGACCACGCCACGGCGCTGCGCTCCCAGCTGGACCTCAAGGACAACCGGATGAAGGAGCTGGAAGCCGAGCTGGCGATGGTGAGACCCCGCCCCACCTTCACGCAGCCGGGGCACCGGGACGCGGTGCGGGGACAGGGCGTGCAGACAGGCTCCAGGGAGGCGGAGCGGGTGCGGCCGGACGCAGGGTCTGCTGCCACTCACACTGACCGCAGAGCCCAGGCCACGGCCTTCCATCCGCTGCAGGGGGCGGGCGAGGGTGCTGGAAGGCCATGCGCCCTTCCACGCTCCCAGGCCACTGTCCGCAAACAAACCAAGACCATTTTTATTTTAAAAACATATTTTTAATGTTTGTTTATTTTCAGAGAGAGTGACAGAGTATGAGCGTGAGCCCCTTTTTTCATTTAAAATACACATATTTGGGGGCGCCTGGGTGGCTCAGTCCGACTTTGGCTCAGGTCATGATCTCATAGTCTGTGAGTTTGAGCCCTGCATCGGGCTCTGAGCTGTTGGCGCAGAGCCTAGAACCTGCTTCAGATTCTGGGTCTCCCTCTCTCTGCCCCTACCCCGCTCACGCGCACGCTCTCTCTCTCTCTCTCTCAAAAATAAAAACATTAAAAAAATTTATTTTAATAAAATACATTTGTTTAGGAAAATATTTGATTTGGGAGGAAATGCACCAAAAACTTAAGAGTGGTTATTTTCTGGGTAGTTGGATTGTAAGAGATTTTTAGTTCCTTTGTTTTCCCCCTATTTACATCTCTAGTGAAAACGTGGTGTTTGGTTGTCAAGGGAAAAAATGTTATTTTTTTCTATTTCCAAACAAACCTGCCAAGGACTTGCAAACGCTGTGTTTTCTATGAGGTGCCCGGCCTGCATGTGGGGACAGAGCCCCCTCCGCCCAAGTGGTGGGTCCCAGCCTGGTGGGAGGGGTCCAGAGCCTTGGAGGCCTGTTCTGCCTGCCCTGTGTGACCTGGGGCCACTCACTAAACATCTCTGGGCTTCAGTGGTATTTATCTGGCACCAGAATGGGGTCGGAGGGGGAGTGGGGGGGGAAGGTCTTTCCCTCACCCTGCCCTCCCGGGAGGTGTCTGGGGGAAACCCAGGGATCCCGGGACTCAAGGGGCCTTAGAAACCACCAGGGTCTCAGTGTGACCGTGGCTGGAAGGAGAGTTTGCAAGGTGCTTGGGGGGGGGGGGGGGGGTGGCCCACGTAGCTCTTAGAACGCGGTGTTCTCCCGCGGAGCTCCCATACTGGCTACCCGTGTGTTGATGGCCATCGGTTCTGGGTTCAAATCCAGCTGTGTGACCTGGGGCAGGACCCTTCACCTGTGGGCGCCTGTGTCAAGTCTGAGTAGGGATAATTGCATACACCCCATCGGGCCGTTAGGAAGATTCCAATGAAATAATGCAGGGAAAGTGTCTAGCACATGCCTGTACATAGTGATGATGTGGTGACACAAAGACTCTCTGCGATCACTTCCTTCAGGACCACGGGCCGCATCCGTGGCGGGTCGGGACCTGGGGCCCCTTCTGGGTTTCCTGTCCAATGCTGACCCCTAACGGTGAGAACGGCCCAGGCTCGAACAAGGTGCAGCCACCGGGTCCCTCTGGGGGCACTGCTTTGCCCACCAGCGAGGTCCCCAGTGCTGAACGTTTCCAGCGGCAGACCTGGGGTGAGGGTGCAGGGGAAGGTGAGGCTCTGTCCTCCCAGGTCTTCCCAGCGCCCCGTGGATGGACAGACATGTCTCCCTTGCCTCAGAGCGCTGGCCTCAAGCGTCCTGGGGATTTATGGGACCTTTCAGAACTGGGAACCAGACCCCCTCGGTCGCCACTCTCTCCATGCCCAGCCTGCTCCCCCTGCTTCCTGTCTGGCCGGCGAAGCTCAGGCTCTGGCCACCCTGGCAGCATCAGACCCCTGCTAGGTGTGAATCGTTGCAGTGAGTGTTTGCAGCTCAGAGTAGAGCCTCCTTATATAACATCGGCATGGCTGTGCCTGGGGCTCGGCAGCAGAGCAGAGGCTTTGCGGAGAAGCAGGGCAGCCCTGGCGCTGTTGGGGTACCCGCCAGACGGGAGGCCTCCTCCATTGAGCACCATCCACAGAAGTTCGCAGCCTGGAGGCTTCCAGGGCTGCCCCCTGCAGGCAGTGTTGTCCAGCTCGCTCCCCTACCGCCTCCCTGCACTGCTGGCCAGGGGCCAGAGGGAGGGCACCGTCCCTATGCACGTGCCTCCTGTCCTCAGGTGCACGGGCCTCACATGCTCGGGTGCAGGCAACAGGAAGCAGATCTGGCTGGTTCCCCACCAGGGGTGCCCTGGAGGCCAGGCTTAGGAGTGGCTCGCTGTAGGGGGCACCTGGGTGGCTCTTGATTTAGGCTCAGGCCATGATCTCGCAGTTCGTGGACCGAACCCCACATCGGGCTCTGTGCTGACAGCGTGGAGCCTGTGTGGGATTCTCTCTCCTCCTCTCTCTGCCCCTCTCCCTCCTCAAAATAAACAAACATTTTAAAAAGAGAGAGAGAGATGGATGGCTCCCCGAAGCCCAGGCAGCTGCAGAGGTGGGGAAGCCGGGATTCTGTAGGAAGTGGTCGGCCCAGGGCGCCCTGCTGGGGATCATGACCCTGAGCACTTTGTCCTTTGAATTTCACCTCCATTTTTTTTTTCAGAAGTGTGATTCAGAGCAGGGTAGCAAAATGGCCCATGTTGGGTCACGTGGTTACCCCTTAGCTGGGGGTCCTGGCTGCGGCCACTGGTGAGGAGTAATTTCTGAAGTGACCCTGAGGTGCCACTGAGGAGATGGGAGCTGAGCTGGCAAATTCCCGCCTGCCCACGATGCAAGGACCGTGGGAGCAGCAGGCGAGTCCTCGTTCAGGCCCCGCCCCCGGCTCCACACACCGCGTGTGGCTCTGGAGGGCCGCTCCACTCCTCCCGGGGCTTGGTGTCGGCAGCACCCACACCCCCCCTCGGCCACCTGCCCTGCGAGAGGACATCTTCCTGGTAACGCCTCCTGGCCCAGCCTGACATCAACACCCCCCCTCTCCACGCGGGTTCACTTCTGTAGCCACATTGGCTTCGTGGCACCACCCCATGTGGTGAGCGTGTATATTTTTTAACGTGCTGGGGTTTTTTGGGTTTTTTTTAATTTTTGTAATGTTTTATTTCTGAGAGAGAGAGAAACAGTGTGAGCAGGGGAGGGTCAGAGAGAGAGGGAGACACAGAATCCAAAGCAGGCTCTGGGCTCCCCACTAGCTGTCAGCATAGAGCCCGACACTGGGCTCGAACCCACGAACCGCAAGATCATGACCTGAGCCGAAGTCAGACGCTTAACCGACTGAGCCACTAAGGTGCCCCTTAACGTGCTGTTTTATTGAGATGTCATCCACATAAAACACACCCCTGCAAGGTGCACAGCTCGGTGGATTTTAGAGTGTGCACAGAACCCAGCGACCGTCAGCAAACGATTCGGTTCCAGAACAGCTGCACCACCACCACCACCCCCCCCTCCCCACAAAAGGGGAAACCCGTATCCATCAGCAGTCACTCCAGTGAGGCGTACGTTCCTGCTGGGCCCACTTTAGGGATGTGGAAGCAGGCTCGGAGGGCGGGAGGCTCACCCAGAGCTGCCCAGCGGGTTGAGAGGCAGAGCTGGGAGTCGGGGAGGCCCCCTGCTTCATGATGTGGCGGCTGTGTTTGCGGGGTCTTTGTAGGGACATCCAGCTGCTGGCCTGGGGGGCCCCTCCCCACCCCTGGCTTATTTGTCCCTCAGGCAAGAGGGTGAGGGAGAAGGGCCTGCCAGCCTCCGAGCTCACACGCTTCCCCCAAGGACAGGCCAGTTCTACCCCCCCCCATCCCCAGGAGCTTGGTTCGTGTCGACCTGGTTTTCTATCAGTGCTGCCTCTAAAACAGGACACTTTTTTGTTTGCTACACATGCTGTACACGGGGCTTATCACAGTCGGCACCATTGACAGTTGGGGCCAATGAGTCTGGGTCGTGAGGCCTTCCCGTGCGCTGGAGGGTGGCCACCAGCTGCCCGGGCTTCCACCTGCTAGACGCCTTTGGCACATCCCAGTTGGGACAACCAGAAGTCCCCGGACACTTCCCAGAGCTTCCTGGGGAGGTGGTGGTGGGTTTCGCCCCAGTTGGGAACCAGCTTTCTATAAAGTTGGCTGTTTCTCAAGCGTCGAGCGTGGGATGGTCTAATCGTAGCATCTCTCTTAGCCACTCAGTTCTAACAGAGTCCCCGTTGGGTCCTGCCATGTTCGGGCTCTGTGACCTCTGACTAGAGACGTAGTCTCTCTGAATCTCCGTTTGCTCGTGTATGAACTCAGTACTGGAGGGCCTTCCTCCTGGGGAGTGGTGAGGTGAGTGACGGTAAGCCAGGCCGGGTGCACCGACGCTCAGTGAGTGTCCGCTGCTGACCGCTGTTGTGCACGGAGACGCATTCTGTCCTCAGACCCGCCGGGACAAGGGGGCATGGATTCCCGTGTCCGTCCCACTGGTAGTCACTGTGTGACCTCAGAAGTCACTCCTCACCTGCCTGGGCCTCAGTTTCCTCATCTATGAAAACGGCAGCCGCGGTTTCATACAGACCCAGGCGAGAGTCAGGCGCGGTGAGGGTGGGTGAGAGGCAGGGGCATGACAGGGATGGCCCAAGTCTGTTCCTCTTCTGATGGCCGTTGCTCTCGGTTGATGCTGCTTCTGCCCTCACTGAAGCACCACCTGCCCCTGGTACCACCCCCTGACCCCATTGCCCTCTGGGAGCAGCAGGCCAGACCTGCTCACAGACCTGCTCACCGACCTGCTGGGGTGTTCCCTGGACAAGCAGGAATCTCTTGAAAAGCTAATAAAGGGTTCCGTTGAGCCGTGCTCCCAGCATCCCTTGGGGCCCAGTCTCACTCTAAACGCGGAGTACCCGCTGCTGATCAGCAGACCCTCCAGGCTGCCAGGCGCCTTCATCAGCCCCGATCGGGAGGGAGGCCCGGGGCAGGGTCCTGCCCACCTCCTGGATCTTATCAGCCCATCTTAGGGCATAAATGATCCCACCAGCCAGCATCACTGCCTCTTCTGGAACGTGCAGGTGCGCAGCCGGCGTCCTGGGCCTTCACTGGCCTTAGTTCACGTCTGACTCCTCCTTGCGAGGTGGAAGATGTTTCATGATGTAACAGTCACTAAGCTCTATGGCCCAGAGGGGTGAGGGACCTCGCTCAGGACTCCCCCCAGCCCCCACCCCCTGCCAGGAAGTGGCACAGCCAGGCACGGATCCAGGCAGTCTGATTTCTGAGCCCAAACTCCAAAGCCGCCTTGTCCACAACTCCAGGGGGTGCTACCTATATGGCAATGCTCTCTCTCCGTCCCCCATCTTAATGGGGAGGACCCTGAAGCTTAGGGAGGTGGAGGAACTTGCTGAAGGTCACACAGCAAGCTAAATAGTAGAAGCAGAGTTGGAACCCCGTTCTCACTTCCATCACAAGAGGGTGTTTGAGCCAATATCCAGGAGCTCGAAACTCTGGGTGCACAGTGCTCAGGAGAGGGAGAGGCTCAGAGGCCAGAGGGAATCAGAGCTCAAGGGGAAGCCCCCAGCATTAACTTGCATTTAGCGGATGCAGAGAAAAGCTGCACAGACTGCCACGGGGAGCTGACCCTGTGTGCGCACATGCCTGTATGTTCAATTAGACTTTACATGCCGCTTATTGTAGTGCTTGTCTCCGTTGTAGCTCTGTCAGGAGCGGACCATTTGTAAGAGGTCCCCGTGCTTCGGAACTCAGCAGTACCACTGCCGCATCCCCCAGGACTAACCGCAGGGGGCCTCCCCGTTGTCAGGCAGCAATGATGACAAGCGGCCTGTTGAGTTAGAAGGTGCCTCTCCCAGGCCCAGACAGAGACGCCAGGTGGGGACAGGAAGGCGATCCTGGCTTGCGGTTTCCTGTGCTTCCCACCGAATGTTTGCGAGAAGGCAGAGCTGAGGGTTAATTAGCATGAGGACCCACTGACCTGGGGTCCACCTTCCAGGCAGCCAAGATGGACTGGCCAGGAGGAAGCAAGGGAGTGAGGCAGCCTAGCACGTGGAGTGGTGCCCGGGATGGTGGGCCAGGAGGCCAGATGCACGTGACCTCGAGGGGAAGCAAAATGTGCTCCCCGGTGAAGTGCCTTGGTGGCCAGGAAATGACTTTTTATTTTTAATATTTACTTATTTTTGAGGAGGAGAGAGACAGAGTGTGAGCAGGGGAGGGGCAGAGAGGGAGGGAGACACAGAACCCAAAGCAGGCTCCAGGATCCGAGCTGTCAGCACAGAGCCCAGCGTGGGGCTCGAACTCACCAACTGTGAGGTCATGACCTGAGCCGAAGTCGGACGCTTAACCGACTGAGCCACCCAGGCGCCCATAGCTGGCCAATGTGATAAGGGTGTATTGGGCTTTAGGCCAACGATGATCCATTTCTCCGCTTGGAAACTCTTTCTCAAGAGCTTCTGCTCTACCAGGAAGAGTCTGGGGCCTTGGGCAAGGTATAGAACATTCTGGGAGCTAGTACGGATGAGATAAGGTTTTTAAATTTTACCCGTGTCCATATTCGGGGCAAAGCCAGCGCTCATAGGTGGCTCTGCTATCTGTAGCAACCTCCTGGGGTGTCAGAGTCCCTGGAGACCTCGGTTCAAGACCCTTGGGCCCCTCCCTGTGTCCCCACTCTGCCCAGGCATGAGCCTGTTGGGGGAACCAGCTGAGAAAGAGAAATAGACTGTGATGGAAAGAATATGCATTAATACATGGCTCATATGTGCCCCTTTTGTCCCCCAAGTAATTCAAGATCACTTCAGGAGAACCCCACATACCATGGCGGGGAGATCACCCAAGGCTAACAGATCTTGGACTATCCCTCCCGCCCTGAGTCAGCCCCGGACTTGTGCCTGGGAGCCAGGGTCGGGGGTTGCTCTGTCCCCCGTCTGCACTGCACGGCACCTTCTAAAGGGGGAGCTCACGGGCTGAATTTGGGAGGCATTAGGGTAATCAGGCAAAGCACCCATGTTCCTCCGGTGTCATTCAAGTCCCAGCTGGTCCTTGGAGAACTCGAAAGAATGGGTGATAAGCGTGTCTTTGGACCCCCCCGCCTCTCTCGGGCATCCTCGGTCTCCCTTTGTGCGAGCCGGAACTAAGGGCTAACCCCAAGGTGAGCCCTCAGGTGAGGCCTGCAGCTCAGGTGCTTGACTCTGATGGGCCACGCGATGCAGAGCCAGCGATGCCCAGGTCCCAAGGTGGGATTCATGGCTTTCTCACCACCGTGGGTCTTTGGCCGAGCAACAGGCCAGGAGTTCCCCCTCGATCCCGGTTTCTTTTTCCTGTCTCCCGGCCGCTCTCCAGGCCAAGCAGTCCTTAGCTACGCTGACCAAGGACGTCCCCAAGCGGCATTCACTCGCCATGCCGGGCGAGACGGTGCTCAACGGCAACCAGGAGTGGGTGGTGCAGGCGGACCTCCCACTGACCGCGGCCATCCGGCAGAGCCAGCAGACTGTCTACCACTCCCATCCCCCACACCCTGCAGACCGGCAAGGTGAGTCCTGCCCCCAGCCCGCCCGGCCTTGGCTGTGGGGGCTTCTTAGGAGGCTACTGACCTTCCCAGGGGCGGTGGGGGGGCCAGGCAGCCTCTCTCTTCACACGGAAGCTGCTCACGGGGGTGGGAGGCAGAGGCCACAGGCTTGTTGTAACTGACAAGTCTGAGAGATGGACTTCAGGCACCGCTGGTTCCTGGGGCCAAACGATACCTGGGCGTGTCCATCTCTCAGCTCTCCCTGCCTCCTCCACGTGGCCTCACCTTTAGGCCGTCCCTTTCCACAAAGCAGCAGAATGGTCTCCAGCAGTTTCGGGCTTTTAAGGTCTTTAAGTGTGAAAGTGATGAGACGGAAAAAGTAAGCTCTTCCTCTGGATGTATAGTAAATCCCAAAGAAGGACTCTGATTGGCCAGCCTGGTTCACATGCTCACCCCGGACCAATGACTGTTGTCTAGGGAGCAGGAGCACGGATTCTCTAGCCTGGGTCTTAGGGGATCCTTGAGTAGCCGCTGCACGCAGTCACTGGGTGTGTGGCAGGGAACTGTCACACGTGTTCTCTCCGGTGGCATCTGCAGCACCAGCCACGACACAGGCCCCAGACCCCTCTGCCTGCCTGCGGCCCGCCTGGCTCTGTTCTCTGTCCCTGTGCGAGCGGCTGCCTCTCGGTGACGTGTACAGGTCGGGGATTGGCAGCTGGCCTTTGGAGCCCACAGGTGCTGCCGTCACCCCCCCCCAACTGCAAAGCCCACTGTCGACCAATCTGCCCCAGCAGCCCCCCAATTGAACCGTATGGCCATGGGCAATGAGGACTATCTTTGTCATAATACAGTCCAGCCCGCTCCCTGCTCCCATGCTGCCTGCATACAGTAGGCCCTGGGTCCTTTTTGGTAAACAGAAACTGCTTTCCCCAGTGACTGCCAAGTGCCTACAGACCCGAAAACAATCTGCCGGGCGCCCTGGGCGGCCTCCTGGACTGTGCCTTCTGAGCACAGCCTTCCGTTCCACCACTACTGATTGAGCACACACTACGTGCCAGGCACCGTGAGCTCTGGGGGCCGACAGGGACCAGACCCCCAGCATGCCTGCCCTCGCAGAGCTGACGTCGTAGGCATAAAGACAGACACCCACGTGTAGCGAAGCTGATAGAACAGTTACAGACTGTAGGTAGCACAGGGAGTGAAATCGGCAGAAGGCAGGCTCTTTGGTGGGAAAAGAATGTGGGGGGGGGCGGGGGGACAGGCGGAGAGACCTGAATGGTGAGAATTCCTCCCGATGAGCAGCAGGACCGGCAAAGACGGAGGCCGGAGGGAGACGGCCCGGGTCAGGCGCTGTCAGAAAGCCAGTGCGCCGTGAGCCAAGGCTGGGAGGGTGGCCAGGGCCATATCCCTTTGGGCCTCCGGGGTTTTATCCCCAGGGTGACCCGGTGCCTGGCCCTGCTGCAGGGTGAGGAAAGGAGTCAGCAGGGACTCCATTCAGTGGAGGCTGGGAGGCCACACGATCTTCCAGGTGAGAGATAGCAGTGGCTTCAGCTTGAGTGATGGCCGTGGGGTTGGAGAGGAGTGGATGGATTTAAGGGTTGTGTTGGGGTTAGAGAAGAGTGGACGGATTTGGGGTCGTGTTTGGAGGTGCTGATGACTGGGTGTCTGGTGTGGGGGTAAGAGGGAACCCAGTGGTGGCCCCTAACTTCTCACTTGGGAAGCTGATGTTGACCAGCGGTTAGGATTGAGCCAGGTCTAGGGAACATCCAGGTGCTGAGAGCATTGTAAGGACAGTCATCAGGGTCCCCGGACACTCATCCCTCTTCTCCTTCACTGCGGGTAAGAGAGGGCCACAGCAGATGCAGGGGCCATGCCGGATCTCCCCCGCAGCTGCTGTTTGGTAGTGTGTGGAGGGCCAAGAGCTAGACAATCTCTTCTCTATGCCTCAGCATTCCCATCGGTGTAATGGGGGCCTAGGGGCCGCAGTGCAGGGCAGCACCGGCGAGGACATGCTCTCCACCCCTCACTTACCAGCTGTCCCTGCTTTCCAGCGGTCAGGGTGAGCCCCTGCCACTCCCGGCAGCCCTCTGTCATCTCCGACGCATCTGCCGCCGAAGGCGACCGGTCGTCCACGCCAAGCGACATCAACTCCCCTCGGCACCGGACACACTCCCTCTGCAACGTAAGGCCAGCAGCAGCAGGGCCTGGGCCAGGGGCCCTTGCCTGGGCACCGCAGGGGTGGGCGGGGCGGGGCGGGGTGAAGACGTACCCGCTGTTTCCTCTCGTCCACCCAGGGAGCACTCTGGCGAAGGCATTTCCTGTTCTGTTCTTTCCTTTTGCAAGAAGAGATGGATGTGGGGAGAGAAGGAAAGGAGGCCTGTTTGCTCCTTGTGTCCGGGAGGGCCAGGAAAACCCAGAGGAAGGCAGGCCCGGGTCGGCTCGGGGTCTGTGCAGCCTGGATTACCTCTGGTGGGCTGTGTCTAGGACTGCGGGTTTCTCTCTGAGCTTCCTTCAGGGTTTTACAGCACTCTTCACTTCCATGGAGAGCCAGCTCTCAGTCCTTCGTCCCGGAAGGAGCCAGGTTTTGTTTTTTTAATTTCCAAGAGTCTGGGCAACTATTGCTTCCGGAGAGGTGTCCCATGAATTTGTTCTTGGTTTTTTTTCCTTTGCTTATTTAATCAAACACTTTTTGATGGCATACTGGGCACCAGCTACCAAGAGGTGTGGGTCCCTGGCCACCGGACTCTTGATGACTGGTAGAGTGGACAGCCCTGCTCCCAAGGAGGGGACAGAGGTGGGTCAAGTACCCCAGGACAGGATGCCGCCTTGAGGGTCTAACAGGAAACCCTGGACCAGGGGTGTGGGGGAGGGGCGTGGAGGCCACTTTACAGTTTTGTTCTGTCACCTGGTCAATAATATGGAGGGCCATGAAGACAGAGAACATAGTAGAGTTAGGCGTCCAAGTGCATGGGAAAGCTTTCTCAAAAATTCATGTACAGTTTTATTAACCAGTGAGATTGGTAGAAGAAATGAGGTGAATATGGTAGGAAAGACAAAATTACTTGCCGACAATATGCTTACCTAGAAACTCAAGAGAATAACCTGTAAAACTATTAGAACCAATAATGACCAAGTATATTAATGGTACTGGTTGAAAATCAATGTATAAAAATAACTTTGCTATAGATGAATAATCACAATAGAAACTTTTTTTCCCGTTTACAGTAACAATGAAAAGTCACTAAAGACTACTAATAAAAATCGCTAAGACTAAACTTAACACTAGTTGTCTTCACCTGACAACATGGACAGTAGGGATCCCCGGCCCAGGGCTTTATTCAGCCCAGTCGGGATGTGGAGAAGGTCACTTCGAGCCTGAATCCCACTCAAAGCTGGGATTCTTTCTTAACTGGGGCTTTAAAGAAACAGTCTGTTCTCTAGTTCCCATGACTGAACCCCGTGACAGAGGCCGTCTTGAACGACAGAACGAGGGCCACTAGAGGGCCTCTGACATCTGTCCTCTGGTTCTGCGGGACCACTTTTCGGCTATAGCCACAGCCAAGGGTCCCCTCATTCTTAGAGCGTGGGCCAGAGACCTAGAGTAGCCATGCACACCCCAAATGGGAGGACCTTCCCAGGGGCCATATTTGATCTTCTTGCGGTGGGCCCACGGGGGCTCTGATAGGCAAAATACTGCCGGAAAGTCCATTCTCAGCAAGGGTTCTCTAAAGGCCTCTTGAATGGCATTTGGCCTCGGCACATCCCACCTGCTATAGGTTCAGGTCCTGTATATTTCTTTCCAGGATCACAGGGCCCTGCCAGGAAATGGGTGCCTTGATGGGCCAGTTGTTTGCATAGAGGCGTTTCAGTGGACACTGGCTTCATTCTCTTCCCCGTAAATATGGCAAAGACGGCCCTACCCAGAGTAGACCTAGCTTAGCTGCCTGCCAGATGGGATCTGTTTGCAAACCTTTGGGATGGGACTAAACTACCATCTGTTCCGTTCCCGCCCACCCTCAGCCACCTTCATCCCCCATTTCAACAGATGTGCACACAGGTAAGCCAAGAAGAGCCTAGAAAAAGCACCAGGTAACCGTCTGTTCTCAGGCCTTTGACCTGGCACCAGCAAGAACAGCCCAGACTAAGAACATCCCCATCCTCTAATTCCATGGCCACCAATTTAGAGCAGAGGTGGGGACCCAGGGCAGGGAAGCTGGCGAAGAGGGGTAGACATTGGCCCAAATGACATACTTTTCTTCGTGGCTATTTTGCCTGTGATTCTGGAAACAACCATCAGAAGCCTCTCTACTAATGACTTGTGATCCCAGTGATCTGTTTGCTGCTCGTCCCTACCCCCCCCCCACCCCCGCCCGAGTCAGGGCAGCCAGATTCTGGACTGTAGCAAAGTCTTTCATCCTGCTGCCTTTGCATGCTCATGGAAAGGAGCACTGGACCAGGAAGAAACAGTCCCAGATCTGGTCTAGTTCCACTTCCGTTAGGTCCATCGCGTTGGCTCATCCGGAGCCTCTCCGTATCTGTAAATTGGGCTCATGAGCCCTGTCTGCCCCTCCACAAAGGAAGAGATGCATTGAATTGTTTGGGGGAGGTGGGGAGGGATTAGAAGCTACATGGTCTCCCGGGTCTTCCTGTCCGGAAATTCTCTATTTTTGTGTCTTTAAGACCATGATTTATGAAAAGCACCAAGTATGGCCAACCTCCAGTCCCAACTTGATGGACCAATTGGGACAGGAACTTAGAATCCTTCAATGGACTGATTTGTTGATCAGTGGGTGTTGGGAGGTCAAGAGACCTGAGTAGGCAAGAGCACTCCAGGACCTCTGGGCCAGGCAGCATCTTGAACCCCAGGTGCCATTGTTGAGCCATCTGGGAGTGTCTGCTTTGGGGGCGGGCAGGGGTTCCCCAGCACAGAGGCAGGGTGGTCCCTAAGAGATGGCTTCCTTCCATGGAAGACCCCACGCTCCACGGGCCACCTCTGCTCCCATGTGTTGTGTCTCTGCTGTTTCATCTTCTCCCTCTTTTTTGGCTGCAGGGCGACAGTCCCGGCCCAGTTCAGAAGAACCTGCACAACCCTATTGTACAGGTAGGTCTGCCTCTCCTGGCCATTTCAGCCCTCCCTTGAACCCTCCTGGACCACGACCCGCCCCCTCACCCCTGGGCCCTCGGCATCCCCACTTCCATTCTTGGACACCCAAGGCAGAGAGGAGTTAAGCCACTGCCTCAGTCAGTCAAGGTTTGGTGTCCGAGCCAAGTTCAGTACCTGGTCTGCCCTTCCCTGTCCTCTGCCAGCTGTGGACCCACTAAGTGCGTTGCACATCCTCCATCCCCCGGCCCTGGTGAGCGCCGTCTCCTGGCAACCCGAGGTTGATGACCCAGGCCATAGACTCACCGGGCCCCTTGCTGCAGGAAACACTTTTTATTCATTCTTAACATTTCAGTAACCTGTCATCAGAGTGGGGAAGGGGCTGCAGGGAGGAAAACAGGAATTGAGAGTCAAGAGGGGTCTCAGTTCAGCTCTCCAGTCCTGGGCGGGGGGGGGGGGTTGTCCCTGATGCTGGTCTATGCACTGCACATCTGCATCGGGGTCCGACCAGGAAAGACTTTTCAAATGCAGAGTCCTGGGGCCTTTAACCATGAAGGATCTGACCCACCAGGTATGGGATGGGGCCTGGAATTCAGGTAATTCTGCTATGTTCGGAGCACCATTAGTCTAACCTCCATCTTTCTGGCCGAGAACATGGCCCCATGCCTTTGTGTCAGGCACTCGACAGTTTGTAAAGCCTCCTACGGACACCACCCTCTGGCCCATTAACCCCGGCAGAGGCTGTCGCCAACATCACAGAGGAGAAAGCTGGGCTCAGAGAGGCGAGGGGCGCTCAAAGAGGCCGTGGGCAGTGACACGGTTAGGACTGGAAGCCAAGCTCCGGCCTCACGGCTCTATTCCTGCTTCTTACCCGAGGCCTTAAGGTGCGGGGCCCTTGCTCTTGGCGGGCACAAAGCTCAGGTCTCCCCCTTCCTCGTTTTCCGGGCTCCCCTGGGTCTCCTTTCCCTTGGGGCCTTTGTTTTACAGGAAACTTGTGCCCTTGCTGCAGGGTCCTCGCAGACAAGGCCTGTGGCCGAGCGGGAGCCAAGTAAGTGCGCAGACGCGCTCCTGCAGGCCCTCAGGAAGCACCCCAAGGTTGTGGGCAAACTGACTTCAAGTGACACGAATAGCACATTAGCAAGCAGCTGGCGGTCATTGCAGGTTTACTGTAACCGCGCACTGCTGTGAGCACTGTGGTCCTCGCTGACCTCCACAGTGGCCCAGGGTGGGTCCCACCGCTGTCCCGGAGGGGCAGACCCTGGCGTTTCACCCACCCGTGGGCCCCCACTCCTTCGCCCTGCCCCCCCCCCCCCCCCCCCCCCCCCCCCCCCCCCCCGCACCCAGCTCAGATGGCTTTGTTCTTCCTCTCCCCCCGCCGGCCGCCCGATTCCTCAGTCACTAGAGGATCTTGAAGACCAAAAACGGAAAAAGAAGAAAGAGAAGATGGGATTCGGCTCCATCTCGCGCGTCTTCGCCAGAGGGAAGCAGCGGAAGTCCCTCGACCCCGGCCTCTTTGATGGTACCGCCCCTGATTATTACATAGAGGAGGACGCGGACTGGTGATACCCGCCTCCCTGCGCCTGCCGCGCGCAGGCGTGTCTGTGCGTGTGGACGTGCGTGCGGGGGAGGGGGGCGCGGCGGCGCGTGCGTGGCGGGGGCGTGTGCGGGCGCGAGCTCCCGCGCACGCGGGTGCTGGGCGTGGCCAGGCGCGGGCCCCGCCCCCTGCGGCGCCACCTCTGTAATTGATGTACATACTCCAGCCGTGTGTGACTCTGTCAACTCTGTCGTCCTCGGAGCGATACAGTCGTGTTGTTAATCTGGGTTTGTTTCTGTTTTTGTTTCTTTTACGTGTTTTGGTTTTTTTTCCCTTTTCGGTTCGTTGGGTTTTTTTTTTTCCCCCTACCCAACCCCCCTTCCCTTCCCCTCCTCCTTTTTTATGAAACTTGAAAACTTGAAGGACTGCTGTGTATTTGTAAATAACAAAACTATTGTGCACTCCGTGCTTGTAAATGTCCCTTGTCCAAACTGCTACTTCTGGAGCCCGTCTGCCCAAGGATGTGGTCTGTTTTTGATGTGACCCCCCTCCCCCCGGGATGAACACGCGGGACCAGACCCTGTCACCGGGGCGCTGAGTCACATTAAGGCGCAAGCCACCCATGTGGTCAGGGTAAGGTCGGCTCCCCGCCAAGACCCGCGAGCCCGGCCGGGGTGGGGGGCCTTACCTTGGCGTGCCAGAGGTCAAACGGGCTCTTTTTAACGGCCTGCCAGTTTTTAAATTGCGTTGCCGTTTCTTTCTTTATGGGAAAAAAAAGAAAAAAAAAAGAAAATTGTTCCGTTTAATTTATTTGCACAAACGCAGAAGACTTATTCTAAATTATTACATAAATATTGGAATGTATATTTTTCCATGGGGTGGGCGGGAGGCGGGTGTTCTGTTGACTTGTCTGTTCTATTCTCATGCTGCTGCCAAACTGTGCAAGGTAGACTTTAGGATGGCCAAAACCCAGGGACCATTGGATTTCAAAGCTTGCTTTTTTCCGTTCTCTCTTCTCCCTCCTTCTCCCCCTTTCCTCTGCCCCTGCATGGAAATGCACTCCGCCTTCCTTCCCACCCATAGCTCTTCTCCAGGCTTTCTGGATGTATTTATTTATCTGAAATAAGGAACGCTGACCTCAGTGAGCAGAGGGCCAACTGAAATGGCCACCTTCTCTTGGGCCTTTTTGAGAGCAGTTGAGTTCAGAGTGAGATGGCCAATCACATGACCACAAGGACCCTCGGCCTGAGTCAGTGCCACGAGGGTCCTCGAGAGGCCTAGGTTCTAACCTGCAGCTGTGTCTTTCTCCTTCTCGGGTCATTCTGCACGGTGGCCACGCAAGTGTCACCCACCTCAAGGGGAGGGCTGCCGGGGACACAGTGGCCAGCACCAGAGCCTCTCTGCCCTGCCCTCCCCATTCTGGTTGGTTCCTCCAGTCACACTTAATAGAATCTCTCGGGATCCCCTGGGCCCTGTCCTCCAACTTGTCACAACAGCCTGAGCCCACTAGCCCCAGGAGAGAAGGGCTGGCGGGAACATCTGGCCCCGGGGAGGTTTCACCAGCCAAGGAACCGTGTGCATTGTTACGCCGGGTGATGGAGAACTTGTGAGCTTCTAATGCCAGGGCCTGCCAAGGCCGAAAACTAGCTTTCCCTTTTCTTTGGTTGACCTGTGAACCCCGCCCCCACTCCCCCACTCCACCTTAACTACTAACACAGCTCAATTCCTGCACACCCGCACCCTCCGCCTAACAGTAGTTATGCTTTCTGCTAACTGTAACATTTTCAGCTCTTACAAAGAGGAGATTTGAAAGTGCTGGAGAGTCTCTACCAGAAAGATAGGATAGTTTGTCCGAAGTGTCTAAAACAAACAAAAAAGCACCAGTAGGCCGTCCCCTTTCCTTCTGACTTGGTGGGGGGCTCTGGGCAAGAGCAGGCAAGGGTACCTGATAAGGATCTTTCTGCCTCCTTCGGCTGAGCTGTCTGACCGGGCCTGGCGGTGAGGGAGAGCGGCCAGAGTGGGCATCTGTCTCTATGGAGAGAGAGATTTTTAGAAAATACTTTTCTCCCCCATGATTGTTATTTTTTTTTCCTCCTTTCGGTTGATTTTTATTGTTTGCCCTTATGAGAAAATAAGATTGCAACCACTCCCGGTAATGATTTAGTAGTTCCTTTCCATTTCAGTTTTTGTAAATTAGGAGATAAATCTAAGAGTTACTAAGGATGATTTATTTAAGAGAACTACGTCAAATAGCGAATGAGTTATGGGTAAATTAGATGAAAATAACTTTTCCCATGGGAAAGGTTTCTCGAAGGCATGGATGCAAATATAAAATATAAAAAAAAAAATCTAAATAAAGCTTATTTTAAAATATTATCGAACTCTATGTTATTTGAGTGCTTCTATCTTGCTCCGGGCGGGAGGCAAAGCCCCTCTATGACCTGCTTCTTGGAATTCTGGGCCTGGGTGCGGAGGGGCCGAGGAAAGCTGGCTGAATTCTGGGCCCACGGTGGGGCTGAGGCCAGGGTGGCCTCCCAGAAACATCGCACCTTGGCCGCCCTGACTGTAATCTGGGGGGGAGCGGTCAGTATCCAGGGCTGCCTGTGGTCCCATTGTGCCACCTCTAAGCCTGGTGCCCTGGCCCTGTGTCCTCCAGCTCAGCGGCCCCGGTCAGCTTTCATCCGCTTCCTTCATTCCCCGGTCATCCCTCCAAAGGCCCAGAAATGGGGCACGTTACTTCCTGCAGACCTCAGCGGGCCTCTGCATTGTCCCAGTGTCCCACCTGTCCTGGGGACAGAGAGGAACTTAAAAGAGAAATCAAGGGAGTCACAGGGCTTTCCTGATAAAGCCATTGTGGGCCAGGCTCTTTCGAGTCTCAGGAGATCCCTCCCCCCGCCACAAGATGGAAATCCTGGGCCTCCCCCCAGCGAAACTCCACCCTGGATACCCCAACCCCTGACTGTAGGCAGTGCCTTCAACGTATAGCTGCCAACTTAAAGACAAATCCTCTCCAACAATACCACTGATGGAAGACCCTGTCATTTCTGCTGGAAGAAAGCTCAAAGTTCCATGATTTACAAACCATGCCAAGAAGTTGTAGAGCTCAGGACTTTGGGGAACTTAGGGATAGCCACCCCGGCACTTCTCAACCTGGCCACGCATTAGAATCACCCGCAGAGCTTTTGAAAGCAGTTACAGACGCCAGGCTGTATCCCTGCATCAGAGCGTTGTTAAACTTCTCTGGTGGAGTCTAAGATGCAGTCAGCATGGAGAACCACTGGGCTGAGGACAAGCAGCCCAGACACACATGCCGCAACTCTCCCTCTGGCCGCATGCAGACATCACTAGTCAATCATAGCCCTTCCCTTGCAGCCCAAAGTGGCCTCTGATTTCTTCACTTTACGAAGCCTCAGACAGCCACTGCCAATTGGCCAGACTTCGGCGTATTAGGGGAAAGCCCATTTGTCATCCTGAAACTAGCTCAGCCTCCCCACCCTACCCCCGCTGGACAGACGGGGAAACCTCAGGCCCAGAGAGGAGTGACTTGGCCAGGATCCTAACTATCTCTCCTGTAGTCCTGTGACCTTGTCAAGGGCTGGGCTATACCTCATTCAAATCTTTGTAGCTCTGCTCAAAAGCCACACTACCTCCTTTGCTAATCTTCTCTGAGACCTTGCCCCCAAATGGTCCAACTTCAAGTGGTACCTATAGGAAATTGAGGTAGGGATACCCAGGGCATCTAGGGCCAGTGCACAGCCACACAGGTTGTATACTGCACTACTCTAGAAGGCACTACTGTGGAAACGGTGTTCTGAGTTGTACAGTGCACAGCCTGCACAGCTGTGCTCAGTAGCCCTTCCACGTGCTGTCCCACTCATGCTGGCAGGCTCCAACAGATGTAACCTAATAATGTAATAACAATAATAATATCTAACATGTATTAAGCACTTACCATGAGCCATGGTCTATGCTGCACATTTTACATGCATTAACTCAGTTAACTCTCCAATAACTGATGAGATAACTATATTTTTGATGAGAAAACAGAGGTTAAGTAAATCGTCAAGGAGCTAGTAAACCGTAGAGCTGGATTTCAAACCGAGGGAGTCCATAGTGCCCTGACCACTCTGTCATCTGGGCAGTGAGGGGCTAGGGCTGGGCAGGGGACATCATCAATGCCTCAGCAGGGCCTGGTTTGCACCTCACCTTGCCCACCAGTAGCCTCTGGTACAGCCTAGCACTTCCTTGCCTCTGTGACCGCATCTATTCCGGCAGCCTTTTGCCCCCAGGTCCAGGAGCCCCACCCTGGGGAGGAACTGGGGCAGGCAGAGTAGATGCAGTTGGTGTCCCGCACTAGCGCTCCGCTTGGAGCAGAGGTTTGCCTCCGGTTGCCCTGCTGCGGAACAGAGCTACCGTGTTCTCAGGATTAGCTCTGCCCCTGCTGTGAGGCGGAGTGTCCCACCGTGGCCACGGCAGGAGCCCAGGAGTCACCCCACACCCATGCCCAACGGGGAATCCCAATGCCACGTGGCTGCAACATATGAGGTCACCAGCCCCTTGACAATAGGGGTTGTAAAATATCTACGGGGCCTCTCACCCAGAACCTGCACTTTCACGAAATGGGCCTCCCAAACATCCCCCGCCCACCCCATCTGCTCTGAACAAATGGGCTCTTAAGTTTCTTCCGTTTGAATCCTGCTGGGGGAAGGGGGGCAAATACCGCCATGGTCCCCCACCTCCCAGCCGTTCCCCTCTCTCAGTAGAAAAAGAACTTGGTGATACTAAAGTATCAAGAGAGAATACGTATAGTTAAAACTTTACCTTAGAAAAGAATTCCTAATTTTATATGCTAAAAGAATGCCCTATAAACATGAAAATAACATAGGAGCTTGATCTTGACTGTCCGTTAGAAGCGTTTGAATATAAGTCATAGTACATCGCTAGTGAAGTGTCATTTATACGGGCCAGCTGAGGGTTGGCCCTTGAATCTTGCTGGCGGCCGGGGTATGGACAGAGAGCATCCCACAACCACAGCGACATGGTGTCGCAAAGCCCAGCTACTGAAAAAATATGCGAATTACGCAATCCTGTACGTTCTCTTAAGGGCTCTGCCCACCATTCCCAGCAGACGATCCATGAGAAAATTATCCCAAGCAGATTGATCTTTAAGAAGCAAGACTACCAGCAACGGAAAAGCTTGCCCTGGTCTTCCTGAACATGGCAGCACTTCCCATTCCCCAGCCCCGTCCCCAGGAGAGCCTGGAGACATTGTCAGGCTATTTGCAGCAGCCACGCTTCTGAATCTGAGTCCCCAGGACACGCTGGCGGACGGCTCGCCTGCATTGCTGAGTTTCAGGTTTTGTCTGATCACTTTCTTAACAGGTTACCAGTAAATAGCAGTTAATTGCACCAAAACAAGAGATCTGTGACATTGCACACCGTGCTCCATCTGGAGGACGCTTGCAGCCCACCGGCGGGGCCGGGCCCAGCTGGAGCTGGCTCCAGCTCTGGCCCCTGCATCTCATTTCAAGCGAGTTGTCTGACCCGTGAGCCTCAGTGTCCTCTCGTCAATGAACCGGGTGTAATAACCCTCCCCTCCTCACAGGCTCAGAAATGAGAGCTGAGTGTGTTTTGGAGCCTGGAAAGGACTGGCCCCATGGCCTGCTTTCCCCATGATTTGAGTGGATTTAAGTGCCAGCAGAGGTAGGAAAAAAGTGTGAAGGTGGTTTGATACACCTCTTGAGCGCAAAGGGGACTCAATCAAAACTTGCTCCCCCTCCCTAGGGATAAAACCAGGGCCTCAGGCGGTGTGGACCTGACATCCCTGCAGCTGTGCGCCCACTCCTCAGGGTCCTGATGGAGTTCCAGTGTCGCTTTGTAAGAGCCTGGGCTTCCCTGCCTCAGAACAGGCGGGCTTTGACACCTTCGCCCAGGGAAGCCCCCAGCCAGGACGACATTCCTTCTAGATCCCAAGGGGAAACACTCTCTGCTGTGGCTAACACAGCAATTGGGCTGCCCGAGCAAGCGTAGCTGCTTGGGACAGAAGCCCCAAGGCCACCCGTTGGGGGGGGTGGGGGCACACGTATAAGGAGACCTGTGTCAGAGCTCAGGGCCAGCCTGGTTTCACGTGCCTCAAACCCTGTGTAGATATTTGCTTCTACAGTCCTCACAACAGCTGCCCAGGGTAAATACTGTTATCATCCCCATGTTATAGATGAACAAACCAGGGCACAGAGAGGGAACGTTTTTGCCCAAAGTCACACAGCCGGGAAGAGGCAGAACCGGGTTTCATCTCCAGCACTGGTCTGCCTCCAGGGTCTAGGTTATCAGTAATTGTGCTATGTAGTCTCTGACCAAGCCCTCCCCCAGGGACAGGATCACTAGCAGCTTCAGAGAACTTGAGAAGGCCTCACTCACCAAGCCCCGTGCAGGCTGGCTCTCTGGGGCTCAGTTTTTCTACCCAATAAAGGAAGGAATCAGAATAAGCAGTCATTTTCAAACTGTGTTCCATGGAACCCTGGAGGGTTCCTCGGGCCTCTCCAGAGGTTACAATTGCTGATAAAAGGATTAGTGGGCAGGGCTCCAGTCCTACCTTCAGCCAGCAGCTCCGTTCTTATCTGTTGCACGCTGGACCTCCATGCAAGAGTCCCTTTGAGGGATCCCATGATAGGAAAAAGGGAGCCAGAGGGAGAAAAAGAAAAACAGTTTGATAATCACACATAAGTCAGTAGTTGTCAAACCTGATCACGCCCTGAGTCTTAAGGATATAGGTTCACAGGTACTAAATCAGGTCTTGGGGGGTAAGGGCCTGGGATGTATGAACCAAGCGAGTTCCCCATGGTGGGCTCAGCGGCCAGAGGTTACACGGGGCAGTCGCTGAGTGAGGCCTCCTGCCCAGGGGGTTCAGCGCAGACTTGGCTCTGGGAGGTTCCCCCAGGGGACCATGAGGAGGGAGGCTGAGTGAGGCCACCTTCCTGGGGCAACTCCAGGATCCCTCACAGAGGAGCCATTCTCCAGCTAGGCCTGCTGAGCGGAGAGCCAAGGGGTCTGGCCTGGAGTCTCTGCCTGCCAACCCCCCGCCCCAGGGCAGAACCCACAGCAACACCCCTTTTAGAGTCACAGAGAGGTTCTCAATTCTCCTAGAGGCGCACAGCCAGGAAGTGGTGGGGACAGAAGTCACAGGGGGTGCAGGCTGAGTTCTGAGAATGACATCTGCCGTCTCAGACGTGGCCTGGCCTGCGGCCTGCTGGGCTTCCGTGGGGCATCCAGTGGCCCTGCTGGCTTGGACCCAACGGTGCCCCATGGACACCAAGTGATGAGCCCTAAGTCAGGAGCAAGGCTGCCCAAGCTGTGCCTTGAGGACCAGTCTGGGGTGATGCTGCAGCCGAGGGAGGGCCCAGCACGGCTCTGCCCAGACCCTGCCCTCGGCTCCTTTCACCCAGAAGGCCCAGCAGCCCAGCCCAGTGCAGGCGGAACCCGGAGCCTCGCTCCCGACTTCCTGTTCCCAGCACGGCCAAGGGCTCACTGTGTGGCCACGGGCCTTCTCTGGGCCTCAGACACCCTCTAAAATAAGCCAGGGCAGTGGTGGCCTGTGGAGTCTTAATGAGTCCCCGGTGTCCTGGGCCACCTCCCCCACCACACTCACTATCCTTCAGCCCAAAGTTCCAGTGTTTTTCTCTTACAGACACGGCTTCATTGGCACAAAGGGTTTGTAACACCAAGGCAGTGTGACCCCCAGGCCCACGGGTTTGGTCACCTCTGAGCTCCATCCCTCAGGCGGCCTCAGACCTCCCCTAGCACCCTCCACTGAGGGGAAGACACTCCCCACAGGCGTCCCCAGACCCTGGCTCCACACCAGGGAGAAGGGGTTCAGGGCCCTTCCTTCCTCCCTCTGGCAGAGCAGGAAAGGCCGCGAGTCGAGGCCCCGCCCCGGAAGGCCACGTACACCCCCCAGTTGAACCACAGCAACGTTACATAGAGCAGCGCCTCTGCCAGGGAACAGCCCTGTACAGTTTGTAACGCTCTTTCACGGGCAGACCAGGGTCAAGGTTAAGAGGGTAGATTCCTGGCAGACTCTCTGGGTCCAAACCTTAGTCCTGACATTCGCTACCTGGTGACCTCGGGCAAGTTAGGGAGTCTGGCTGGGCCTCAGTTTCCTCACCTGTACGCTGGGGACAATAAGGCAATGTTGAGGGGTGGCTACAGGAGGGAATGAGTAATGGTGGGCAAAAGGCTTGGCTCGGGTAACAGTGTCACCCACGATGATGACTGATGACGCTGAGGACCAGGACAGTGACGGCAGGGATCACATTTCAGCTTCTGACCCGCCCGGTGAGCTGGGCAGAGCAGGCCCCTTAGGACAGGTGTGAACTGGAGCTGAGAGGGCTCTTGGTGGCTTCTTGCCGTTCCCCTCATGTTACAGAGGGGAAGGGACTTGGCCACAGCCAAGTAGGGAGTCAGTGGCTGAGCCGGCTCTGGAACCCAGGCCTCCTGACTCCTAGACCAGTGCTCTGAGCTGCTGCAGACCATGAGATTCAGCAGTGGGGGGTGAGGGAGGACAAATTCTTAGGGGAACAAATTCTTGGGTCAATTGTTTTGGAAACAATGCCATGTCTCTAACCCTTAGAAATCAACACATTAGCTTTTTAAGGCTCTGACAAGTACTGCAGTGAAGAAAAATACCACACTTTTTTCCACTTCGTGTTTCCCAAACTTAACTGACCACAGAACCATGCATTTTTAAAGGTTTATTGAGAGAGAGAGAGAGAGAAAACAAGGAGAGGGGCAGAGAAGAGTGCCAAGCAGACTGTACACAGTGTAGAGCCTGACGTGGGGCTCAGACTCACATGAAATCATGACCTGAGCCAAAACCAAGAGTCAGATGCTTTACTGACTGAGCGCCACCAGGTGCCCCAAGAACCATGCATTTTTATCTAGTTCATGGAGCACCTACCCTCTGGGACGTGTTGCAGTGGGCAACTTCAGCTCCTGTGCCCTGTGCTTGGAGGTGCTAGGCCAGCGGTTCTTGGGAGAGCTGGGCGCACACCACATTTCTGACATCATTTAGCCCTGGAAAGTTCCTGAGGCTCACGCGGGATTCCCATGTGCCTTAAGGAGCCAGGCGAGGCGGGGTCTGCACCTCTCTCTATCCCCTTTGCTTAGAAAGCGCCTGCGGAAGGCAGAAGGGCCCTGCAGACTGGCTAAGAAATGCCAGTCCCAGGGCACTCCTTTTGTGGCTGTCCCAGGTCCCAGGTGTAGGCAGAGAGGCCAAGTTGATTGCCACAGGGCTTGGACAGGGACAGGAATGGGCTCATTCTGCCAGCACACCCGGCCCCACCTGCCCTGAGCCGCTAATTGCTTTCCCTGGGACAGACCACAGACACTGCTGTCACATCCAAACTGGCTCTAAGCCTACACAGCACCAGCTTCCTTCCTGTTAGGACACTGAGGTCTCCGGGGGAGGCTTGGAGCCCGTGGCTGGGGGCGGGCAGGCCAGGGAGGAAAGAAGTCTGCCCCTGACAGCTGTCACTGCGGGGACCAGAGCCGTGGTGGCAGGGAAGGAGGCTCTCGACAAGCTGGAGGGAATTTGAGGGCCTGTCTACCAACTCTGAGGGTGAGAGATAACAGGCTGGTCACCAACTGCAACTCGCATGTGTGAGCCATCGCCAGGTCCCTCCGTCACCCCCTGCATGCGCAGAAAACACAGGATCAGGTTAGTGACAGCCTGAAGCCAGCAGAATTCAGGAACACCAAGCAAGACAGGGAGGGGTGCTGAGCAAAGACCAGGCTTTAGAGCCAGATCTCTGGGTTTGATCCACTCACTCAGTCCCTGTAAGCCTCAGTTTTCCCCTCCATAAAATGGAAACAAAACTGCCTATCTCCTGAGGCCATTGCAAAGATGACATAACAAATGGACAGAAGCGTCCAGTGTACAGCCACTGCGGGTCTTGGCAAGAGACTCACGGGAGAGGAAACGTGGGCCAGTGGCATAAAACACAGACTCTGCATTCTGGCTGTGCATGCCGTACACATCCGATTGACGTCTCTGAGCTCCACTTTCCTCATCCGTGCAATGGGCCTCACGGTGGGGATACAGTCACTCACCAAGCTGTAAAGGACCCGGCAAAGCTAGCCGTCTCGGCTGGGCTCCCAGGGTGAGCTGGAATGCCTTTGATCCTCCCTGTTTTAGTTTTTTGGTTTTTTTTTTTTTTTTTTTAATTTTTGAGAGAGACAGAGTGCAAGTGGAGAAGGGGCAGAGAGAGGGAGACACAGAATCTGAAGCAGGCTCCAGGCTCTCAGGTGTCAGCACAGAGCCCAACACGGGGCTTGAACCCATGAACTGTGAGATCATGACCTAAGCCGAAGTCGGACACTCAGCCGACTGAGCCCCCCAGACGCCCCCACCCTCCCTGTTTTTAGATCTGCTCTAACAGCCCCACCACACAGTGTAGAGGGTGATGCCAGGGCCCCCCTCCGTGAGCTCTCTGGGGAGCCAGCCCGAGCTGCCCGCTTCCCCACCTCATTCCCGCTAGATCCCAACCCCAGAGGCCTCAGGCAGGTGGGGAAGGAGAGTGCCTGGGGGCCTCAGCCCAGCCCCTCCGGGCTCTGGGGCCTCCAGCGCCCCTGATCTTTCGAAAGAAGCCAAAACGCCCCAGAATACACTGCAATTTGTAATACTGGCAACTTTTTTTTAGAAAATCACTGTTCTTTAAGGGAACAGAGTGCCCACAGCCCCAGTTTGTCTCCAGGTCACCTGCTCTGTCACGTCCGATCTGGTTCTCTCTGTCCTGGTCTTTCCCCTTGATCAGAGTCCGGTGTGCCTGCCTGGCCACAGGCGTCCATCGAGTTGACATGCGTCCTTTCGCTGGAGGGCTCGCCTGCCCCTCCCTCGCTGGGCAGCCAGGCCGCAGGGACCACACTCATTTCTGAGCCCAGAGCAGGGCTCCCAGAGCTTGGGCTGTTTAGGAAGTAGCAGGCGGCAGGTGCCCTCCGAATCCTGGGGTCGGCACAGGAGTCCTGAGCCCACTGGTCCGCAGAGGCCCATGTGGCCGGGGCCGCAGTCAGGCTTGGGGTCAGCCTGCCTGTGGCATCCAGGGCCCATGGCCGTGCCCTGCGGGACTCAGAGAGAGAGAGGGCGGCAGGAAGGCAGTGTGCTTTGCCCTCAGGGGAGGGTGCTGATGGGCCTGACAAAGGGGGCTCCACACTCTCCCGGAAATGCCAGGAGGATGCATGGTCACTGGTGCGGAAAGAGCCGTAACCCGCAGGCCCAGGGATAGGTTGTGTGTGTCGGGCTGAGGGCTGGGGACAAGGACTGGCTTCTGGTGGGGGGAAGAGGCGGGTAGCAAGTGATAAAAGCTGGGGAAGGAGAGTAGGATGTGATTCGCTGTCATTTACTGAGTGCCGGGCGAGTCCAGGCCCTTGGCGTACACTCAGTTGGTCATTCAACAAACACTGGCTGGCCACTTCCTGTGGGCCAGGCCTAGGGCTAAAGCTGGGAATGCAGATGTAAACATGAGACAACATAAGTTACCCTAACGTCGTCCTCACCAAAATCGCACAAAGTGTCTATTATTATTCCAACCTTACAGGGGAGGAAACTGAGGCACAGACAGTTGACAGAAATAGCCAAGGAGAGATAGCACATGGAAC